TTTTTACTTGTTATGCTGCATGCTTAAACTGGAATAAAATGCATTTCTTTCTTTCTATAAATTAACACCTTATACAGAAGACGAAATACGGAAAATTAATTTCGTAATATGCATCAATAATAAAAACATATAAATTTTAGAAATAAGCAACTAGTTTTTTAGTAACAGGGCTTTTAGTCTCGTGATACTAACTACAACCCCTTAAATACCATTTCCTTATAAAATTAAAGTGAAATTAAGACTACAGTTCACTTGCATTCAACTTCAGAGGTTACGGCTGCAGACGCTTTCTTACATTTATACAAACACTACACATGGACGGAAACTAGTTTATTTACGAATTTTATCGCCATTAATTAACATATTTCATATTCTCGACGTTTCGAGTACTTTGTAGCACTCATGGTCACGGGGGGAGGGGTTATCCGTAAAAACTAGTTTCAGTCAAGGCTACAGACGCGCTGTCACCTCTGAGTATTTAGATGGAATGCCTCACAGTCGGTAATTATATTGACTCTCTCCCCCTTCAGCAGTGCAAGCGCTGCTATTTGGCGGCGGAAGTAGACAAGAAGGTGGTACCTCTCCGGGCGGACTCCTCATCAGAGAAGTAGTCCCACCACCAGCAGCAACACCAGTAAAGAAACCTCTCAAGTAACAATAAAAATGCCGTATGATGTCGCCTTAAGGGAATCCTTCAACCATTTTTTCCTGTGACTGTGAGTGACGTGAGAAGCAACTACAGATAAAGACAGTTATGTGTTTTGACTTCTGATAATTGTTGGTATAAACACCTCGCTTACGCTACATATAAAAATGACCAAACCGACGACGGGCACTAGCGTCAAAGGTGCGAGACCGACGACGTGATGCTGTGCTTTTTGATCAACCTGTCAAAAATTACTATCAAAACATATTTTCCCTGCAAAGGGAGTGTGGCCCGTGCCTTTACGTGGTAGAGCAATGCTGCAGCTATATTAATGGTATAGTTGTAGCACGAGTGAGTGGGCTCGACCGGGGAAGGACCACGCTCTCACAGAATACCAGCGTTAAATAGCAGCTTAATGCTGCTGTGTTTCGTATGGTGAGTGTAGAGAACCGGAGACCCTTTTTACTGGAAAAGAGGCATTCCATCTTAGTCCTCAAGGCTGACAACGCATCTTCATTTTGATTCGCAAACAAGGATATCTGCATATGTATATGGGCCGCAGCAACCACTTACCATCAGGTGGACTGTGTGCTCGAAAGAAACCAGGAGGAGATCATAACGGCTTTAATGTATGATAAAATACGGATAATATAATGAATAAAAAGCAGAACACATACTGTAATGTATTAAAATCGATACTCGGAATACTATTATATCCTTGTGGTTTTAGTTTTATTTTGTCTACTTATTTAATTTACATAGGCGAAATCAAAGTTGCTACATGTATTAGTTTTTCAGGAGGTTGACATAGCTGAACAATGTCTTCTGTAATATTGATTGCACTGTTGAATCATCTGACTTTTAAACATTGTCTTTTGATTATGGTGGAAATAATGATTTCTTATATTTACGCGAACATTGCACATGATTAAAACTACTTTTACGGATTTTATCGCGTTTATTTTTACTTTTTATTTTTAATTCCCGACGTTTCGGGCGCTTTCCAGCACCCATGGTCACGGTCTCACAACATCACACATCTCAGTCCCCCGTGACCATGGGTGCTGGAAAGCGCCCGAAACGTCGGGAATTAAAAATAAAAAGTAAAAATAAACGCGATAAAATCCGTAAAAGTAGTTTTGATCATATGGTGGAAATCTTCTAATTTAAAATTTTACTTATGACTCGCGAACTCGTTTGATATCAAAGCCTTAAAATCTAATTGAAAAAAAAAAAACAGAGACATGGGCTTGGAGGCTTGGTAACAAAATATTGCATGAAGTAGTGCATACTACAATTCCGCGATGCCCGTGTCCTTTTCCGTATTTTTCAGGCGTGTTGTGGCGACATAAGAAAGTCGGTCACGTGTGTGTCATAAAATACGATTATGGAAAATGTAATAAAAATCTTATGGCTTCTGATATATGGCAGTATAACAATCTCGTTTACACCATACGAAAATTACCTAGACCGGTGAAGAGAAGCTGCTACAAACGCGATCGAGCATGTCGCAGCTACGTGGGCTATAGGTGAGGTATAGGTGCGGATAACGCTCTCACAGAATACTAGAGTAAAATAGTAGTTTATTCTTGTTATGTTTCGTATGGTGAATGTAGAAAATCAAAGACCCTTTTTTACTGGGTATGAGGCATTCCACCTTAGTCCTCAGGGATGAAAAAGCTTCTGCAATTTTATTCTTAATCGAGGATAAATTTAAATGTTTGTCACAGCATCGACTGACCATCGGGGGGACTGTCTGCACGTTTGTCACACTTATTAATAGAAAAAAAGAAAAAAGTGACAAAGTGCCCGACGTCTGAAACTGCTATTGTCAATGAGCTTTCCTAGCGTGAAGATACATAAATATTGTTATGATATTTTTTTTCGATCACGAAATAACTTACTAAATTTCTTCTAAAATATCTTTTGTTATAAAAGAATGTACCAAGATAACTCCTAAAGCGATTAATCATTTTCGTTATATTCCTTAGAGTTTTTAATTTTAATTTTTTTGTTCTAACTGTTGACAGTTTTGTCATAACGTCTCCTGATGTTATCAGATGAGACCTGGCTCGATCAACGATGGAAGCATTTTTTTTGCAGTTCGGACCTTAGTTTCAAGGATGATTAAAGCTGGAAGCCTGGGTTTTTTCATCACCAAATAGAACGGGAAAAGTAAAGCAGAGAAATAAAATTTAAATTACAATTTAACATGACTTTTACAAATAAAAATTTACAGTAAAGATTTTTTTTAATAATTTTGTGATTAACATCAAGGTTAAATCGCATTTTATTACTGCAACGCCTGTCTTTCACCATATTGGCAGGCGTATAGCTACGATTCTAGCCTGCTTATAATTGAAAAATTCCTCACTGCAGTGTTTACGCTTTGAGACAAAGCTGCGATTGTCATTATTTTTCATACGCGTCAGCTCATGGGTCGGTCATGAACTCGTTCAACTTCTCGAACCCGCCAGTGCGGCATAATAAATAACACTGAAATAATAAGGCGCTCCCTTTCGTTTTTCTCACAGCAGGAGATTCTTATTAATAATATAAAAAATCATAGCGCTACCTGCTTACTGACTATTCTGTCCTGCCGGCCTAGCATGGGCATGAGACAATATATCCACGGGGAGAGGATGAAAATTTTATCCCTTGCTCAGTTTGTGATGGTGGATAAAACTCATAAATTAACAGACATAAAAAAATTAAAAAATCAGGGTATAAAATTGCTGTCTTCTGCCCATGCTACCCGACTGGCCCATGCCCATCGGGTCAATTTCCACACGGAATATATTTTTGAAGGACCTGCAATTAACTGGTCCAGGCTTCAGTCTACGTACGTTTTAAGTATTTATAGTATTATAACGTTCTGTATGGAAAAACATATTATTATTATTATTTTGAATGTGACAGGATAGGTTTTGATTGACTATAATTCAGTACCTGAAAACGTAAAAGTATTATGGTCATGTAGACAAATTTGATTATGTTCGCCATATCTTTAGATAATATATAAAATAGCAAAAAAAAACACATTTATTAAAGTAAGTTTACATAAAAATAAAGAACCTAACATAAATAATTGGTGCAGAGCTTGTCGTCGGAGTTGCACGCCGACCAGTTGACAGATGAAAGTGGTAAACAAACAGAAATAATTTTATTTCCGTCTGATGCAAAGAATCTAAACAATTTTATAAATCATGGGGAGGATGTTTAGAGGTCTGGCAGGCGGAGGGCGTGTAGAGAGCGCGCGGAGGACGTGTGGCCGAGAGCACCAGCGCGAAACTTAATACGAACTTAAAGGACAAGCTGTTTTCTGTACAACTTTGAGATGTAATTTTTATTTACAACTTAAATACTGGATCTGGTGCAAACAGAATTACTCTATATATATATATATATATATATATATATATATATATATATATATATATCTGTACAATATACTCATATATATTGGCAAAAGTTTTGAATACTTCTCTCTAATGCGAATACTTGCGATTTTTACTAGAGAATTGATTAATTCTAAAAAATGTGAATGATTATTGTTCAATTTATTTTGTTTAATAAAATTAGTAGATTTTTTGCTAACTACAAGAGAATGTATTTTTCTAGTCCGGAGTTTATGAAATTTTTACTGGAGACGTTAGTCTTAGTCGAGTTGAATTTTAACTACTTTTTGTTTCTAACGGATTATCCTTTCATTAATAATTTTTAACACTCTCAAATTATACGCTTTTTTATTCTTAAAGAAATAAGAGTACTTAGATAGCACAGTCTAGTTATTCGAGAGAGAACAGCACCAGCTGCTATATCTTTATTTACTATAACTTTGTTTTACTGGAACGAGGCATTCCATCTGTTTTTAGGGATTACAACGCGTCTGCATTTTGATTCTTAATTTAGGATGAATGAAGATGTCTGCGAGCGACAGCACTTACCATAAGGTGGACTGTGTGCACATTCGTCTATAAAAAAAATGCTCGGTTACCTTTTATTTTTATTTTTACTACACATGCGTTTCCAATTTCGTTCTCTACATAATATCAATCTGCGAGTTTTTATATATTTGTATCCGAAATAATTGTTTCGATGCGAGTCGTCCGAGGTTCGGTAGAACAGGAGCTTACGATATCCGAGATCCTTCGGTATCTGAGTGGCGGCGTGGAGCGCGGGGCGGCGGCAGACGCGCCGGCACCGGGCTCCGGCGGCAGCAGGCGGCAGTTCGCGCCGCGCCGCCTTCGCGCTCGCTCGTGTGCTGGTGATCTCGTGAATGTGCAACTGTGCAACCGTGCTGTCTATACGTGCGTGCGGTAAGATGGGTGGTGCGATGGTGAGCAGGTGAAGCATGGAGCTGGCGGTGGCGCTGGGAGCGATACTGCTGCTGGCAGGCGGCGGTGCGGGAGCGTGCGGGCCGCAGCTGCCGGAGGGCTGCGTGTGCGCCGATGCTTCCACCAGGCTGCGGTGTCGTGCCGCCGGTCTCACCAGCTTGCCGCCGCTGCACGACCGCCTGATCGAGCTGTAAGTACCACTGCCACAGCTGTACCATACATCCTTCACAGTAATATTATGTTTATCCTGACATCAACCTCATTATTCAAAACTTTAATTCGTTGATGTCTTTTACTAGAGCTATTTCAAAATTAAATTTCAATAACGTCTTGTAAATTATTTTTGTCTTAAAAAGTTTGCATTACATTTGGGTTGTTTTTATATCGACAACGTAATAAACAGTATAATTTTAACATATCGCGTATGGTTTATAAGAAATAAAAAGTGCACGGATGTCTTTTGCAGTTTCGCGAGCTTTTCGTTGGTGTATATAGCTTATATATTAAGTAGTTTTAAAAAGATTAAAGTTACATATTTTTATACCATTCTATATAAGTATATAAGCTTTATGGGACATTTTTATGAAAGGCGAACACAATCAATAGATAGCACTCTAAATTACCTACACTCAATGGTTTTTTTTTTAATTTACTTCAGAAGAAATCTTTATTTTAATAATAATAATTAAATGTATTAGTGTCCGTCTACATTAAAAAGGTTTACAATGCTTATTAACATGCGACTTAGTACGTTCTGATTGCAAATATCGGGAAAATAGTCAACTGAACGACATCACGGCTACCATCATACGCACACACATACATATACGCAAGCCGTACATGTGTGTGTGTGTGTTACGTTACATAGAATGCACGCACACGAACGCGTGTGTGCATATGCAGTCATTTTTCGAAACCCACTCGATCCTAATCTCTCGATAACTACTAGAATGTAGGCCAATGGATGCGTATCGACACAAAAGTAAACGTTACACAGTTTTCCTGAAACTTATCCTCTTTGTTGCTCCATATTTGCTTCTATGTTACAATTATTGTTGTAAAGTTTCTATTGTAACTTTTCCTGCCTTTTTTACTTCTTATTAATGATTTTAATCTAACTCTCTGCATTAGCACTTATTCGAAGCCCCACCCCGCGTGATTTTTTTTAATAATTTAAACTTCTTTATTGTTTGTATTTTACTTTCATAGGTTACGGCCTAAGAGGATTACAAAAAATTCTATTGGGTTAGAAACATTGCGACAAAACTTTATATTGAAAGTACAGAAAGCTTTACCTTTGCATAGGTAGAATATTCCAGAACATTTACCAGTAATAAAATTCAAACACATATTTTTTATAAGAGGGGGCAAACGAGCATGCAGGTTACCTGATGGTAAGTGACCACCACCGCCCATGAACAGCCGGCCTTTTAAAAAAGAGTTAGAGCCTACTCTTTTCTTCAAGGTCCCTAAGTCATATTGGTCCGGAAAAATCGCTGGTGGTAGTCGATTTTACAAGGAAGTTGTGCGAGGAAGAAAACTTCTTGTATATCACACAGTAGTGGACCACCAATCATCCAGATGGTAAGGATGGTATCTCGAGTTCTGTCGCGAAGTGCGATTGTGAAATTGAGCGACTGGAATTAGTCTGAACAAATCATTAGAGCACTCCTCGTGGTAAATACGATAGAATACGCAAAGAGATGCAACATCTCTTCACAGCACCAGTGCGACGACGCGATCAAATGGAAGGAGTGAGCACTGGGGAGCCCCGACCCGAGGTGGGAATAGTATTCCATGTGAGGCCGAACCTGTGAGCTTTGCAAAGTTGCAAGCGGTGTACCAGCATTAAGTACTGTTCCACTCTGCTGAGTATGAAATACTGTATGGCTCTGCTGAGCACGCCAAGCTTTATAGAGGCCAGTTTGGCCTTGTCTTCCAAGCGACCATGATACTGAATTCGAAATGTCGGCGCCAAAGATTCCAATACTGGCTGGGGCAACAAGGGGAGTGCCCTGAAACTGAGGAGATACGACAAAGGGGTTCCTTTTAGCGGTAAACGCGCAAATTTATATCTTTGCTATGTCTAAACTAACCGCCAAAGCCTAAGCCAAAACAACAAAATTTACAAGCTTCATCTAATTTTTACCTATTTGCACAAGCACAAAGGCAATCAAAATAGAGTGACTTATAACCTCACTTAATAACTTAGTGCTTTGATAAAAGGTTGCAGCGATAATCAATTGTGTTTGCTCTTACAATAAACATATTATACTAATAAAAATTAATAAAAAACGAATCAATTGAATTGCATTGTCCCATCGCCGGGTATCTCAAGGCGCTGGTTGCTGCAGCCTTATATAGTATATGCAAACTCTTTTTATCACTCTTAATTTTAAATAAAGTTAGTTTTAACTAGATAAATAACGAAAGTTACCATTTGTATCTAACATGTATTTTGCTGAAAATTTATATAATCTTAATTTGAAAAAACAATTTTGGCTAAATGGATTTGCACAACATTAAAAGAAGAATTGACGGACCCCTAGCGCAGTGGCTTAGCAATGAGTTACGGTGCTGAGGCGCGCGGGATGAATACCGCATGGGTCAAGTACTTGTATGGCCTGCAAAAAAACGGGTCTGGATACTTATTCTTGTGCAATTTATGTATTTAAACTCTTTCCACAATACAGGAGAAAACCTAAATGGGGGGTAACGTTTTATTAAAAAAAAAAAGATAAAGAAAAGATGTTTAAAATCAAACAGTGTTGTTGATCGCTGTTGCAAATGTAATTAACGGTCAATGTGATTAATAACAAATTAAGACCGCTGGTTTAATAAAGCTGTCAAATTAACATCCGTTTGAAATAAAAAACAGTACTGTGATGCTCATGATTAGGCTCGCGAATTTAATTACTCAAGAAAATCCGGACGTTGACCTCGACATGCTCTCCAAACATTGCAATTGATACTTCGTTACATCGCTTTTTTTGTAAGTCCATTTGCTAATTGAAATTAAAAAAATGCGCAGCTCCAGCAAGCCTTTGCCTACTTGTCACGCAATTCTTCCGGTCACCAGTGTGCGAAATTTAGGTTTAGCGTTTTGAATGGATCTTCACCATTACTCGGTTATTGATTCTCATCAGTATATTAATCAATTGCATCTTATATACAATTTTTTTCAAGTGTTTTGATCTCGATATTTCTGCCATTAAAGTCTCTACTTACGAATCTATCGATTATAAGTCTGTAATATAATATAATTGTAAAAAACGATAGTAAAGAATATATACGAGTATGTAGGAATTTATAACGCTCAATGTAAACATAAGATGATGATGAGGTTAATATCTGTCGCTATATCTCTACCGTACGGAAATTGAGAACAAATGAAATTGGGGTGTTTTTTTTTTAATTCAAATAGCCTTGTGTTTTGTTGAAATTGGTGTAGTTTGTTACAAATCTGACGTAATGTCGAGGACGATTCTGAACATGTTCAAAGACTGCAGTCTTCCCGGAGCGTCGCTGCTTTACATCAGCTATAAAATGTTTCTTTACGTGAGTTTTTAGTGGTCTTTTTGTTTGCTCTTTATAAGAAAATAACATCTAAAATCAAGCTTAGTACAATCCTCCATCTTGAATACGGATATTACATTTGACGGATGGTAAATACTGACATTTTCGGCGCCTTGTATGTAGTTACAGTATAGTAGTTACAACAGTATGTACTTATGATTGTTCGCTTCAAGATGCAGCCAATCTGTTCTGTCAACCCTCGAATACGCGATAGTACTGTAGGTGTTTTCATGCAGCCACTGTAGCGCAGAACCCGAAGCTTGTCATAATGTAATTCTCACTTGACATTTTGAAGTTCGACGGTGAGTTTTTGACTGTCACAGATCCTTAAAGTAAGGTGTAGAGAATATCTAATTTATTAAGATTTCGAATGACAAAATTCATCTTTTTACTCAATTGTGAACTGAGTTTTAGAGTTTATAAAGTTAAGGTAGTCCAAGAAGTCAGTTAAGAATGCAGTAATAAGTAATTGTCAACGAGAGAGGCCTATTCATTCTATTAATTGCTACGACATAAAAACGAACTTAGTGTCTTCGATTACGTCGTTAATTATATTAAGGTGATACCCCAAAGCCTTGCGAAAGTGCGTTTTTTAGACTATTATCTCATTAGTTATGAGAAATAAGCTACATCTAAAAGCACATTATTAATGTTCGATATCCTATCATCACATTCCACGTTCTAATTGGTTTTTATGTGTTATAAATACATTTAAAATCTACTTTTAAAAAATTACTAAAATTATTGATTGCATGCATCTGTTGCCAAAAGCAACGCTCTAATCGTTTGAGAATTACACTAATCGATCGATAATTTAGAAATCTGTATTATTCACGTTTTATTAAATTTCTTAAATTCGCTTTTCTTTTTTAATTGGAATAATTCCAAAAATTTGGGCGTATATCTTACGGAATTGTTGTGCCTTAAAAGAAAATTAATAAAATATTTTAAACTTGTAGTTACTTTGCATAGTTCTCTAAGATTAAATTTGTCAATAAAAATGTCTGGACATTGAATATGCATGTAAAAAAGTGTGTGGAATTGTAATTAATAGATAATTACACTATTGATAAGTGGCGGTGTGAGCACATCCGCTGCCGCATGTCGTCCCGAGTGTGTTTTTTTTTTTTAATAGAAGGGGGGCAAACGAGCATGCGGCTCACCTGATGTTAAGTGACTACCGCCGCCCATGATCACCGCAACACCAGGGGAATTGCAGGTGCGTTGCCGGCCCTTTAGAAAGGAGTACGCTCTTTTCTTGAAGGTCCCCAGGTCGTATCGGTCCGGAAAAATCGCCGGTGGTAAACTATTCCACAGAGAGGTTGTACGTGGAAAAAAACTCCTTGTGAAACGTACAGTGGTGGACCGCCAAGCATCCAGATGGTGTGGATGGTATCGGGACGTTTGACGTGTAGTGCGTTCACGAAATTTGGCGGCTGGGATTAATCCGAACAATTCCTCAGAGCACTTCCCGTGATAGATGCGATAAAATACGCAAAGAGATGCAACATCTCTTCGCAGCGCCAGTGAATCGAGCCGATCGGAAAGCACTCGGTCGTCGACGATTCGAGCCGCTCTGCGCTGGATGCGGTCAAGTGGAAGAAGCTGGTACTG